TATATATATATTACCAAATGCTTCTCACAGCTATTTGTTTGGATTTTAAATTAAAAATTTGGCTAAAATTGTCGCTAAATGTTTTTTTTCTTTTTGTGTTTATGGTGATATTAGTCTTGAATGTCATTTCAAGAGGTCTTTAAACGTCTTTAATTTAACTTGCCTTAAGCTGTAGGAACCCTGAAATAGAACAGACTTTGGGCTGAATTCACACTGATTTGCTAAGAAAATAAAGTTTGAGCTTGTTTGAACTCTGCTTGCGTTGAGAGGAAAAAAGTTGATCAAACTTCAGTGTGAAGTGGTGACAAAATCTTAATGCGCTGAGAAAATAAATAAAATAATAATAAAACAACTCCCAAAGGAGTTTTGCTCTAATGTCCAATTAGTTTTTTTTTTTTTCTTGTTTTGATGATCTGGGATCAAATGATTTTTGTTATGAAGTGTGGAAAATCCTCTAAGAATGCTTAAACAGATTTCTTCCAACAGAGTTCATCTTTAAAATTCTTTGAAAAATACTGTTTCGTGAGCTGGGTGTTTCAGCTCATCCAGAGATCCTCCTGAAGCACGAGCTGTTTGTGTGATTCTGTCGGACAGGAGAGACAAGACTTTAATGACCAAAAACCTCATTAAGTGTCTTGTTTTCTTCTCAGGACGAGCTGAGGCGGGACTTGGCCAGGCTGCAGAGAGAAAAGGAGAAAGCCCGAACKGCCATCGCCCAGGCCGCTGCAGCGACCATCAAGGCGGCGGCGTCCTCCCACCTTCCTCACTCTGCACATTCCTCCCACGGCACACACGCACCATCCCATAAACGTCCACGAGAAGACGAGAAAGACAGGGACAAAAACCGAGACCGACATCACGACAARAGCAAGAAACGGGACAAGGACAGAGACCGACACAGAGACAGAGATAAAGAAAGAGAGCGAGATAGGGACAGGGAGAGAGACAAACATCGGGACAGAGAGCGAGACAAAGACAAGGAAAGGGATGGAGACCAGGAGCGAGATCCCAGCTTATTGAAGCACAAGAAGAAGAAGAAGAAGCTGTCTTCTACCTCAAAGGATCACAAGAAGGACACCAAGCTGTACTGTATCTGCAAAACGCCGTACGACGAGTCAAAGTGAGACCTTTCTTTCATCTTTCTGCTGATTCAAACGTGACRTCAGCTCCTCTCAATCGCTGTGAAAACCTGATGTTTGTCTCGCAGGTTTTACATCGGCTGCGACCTGTGCTCCAACTGGTTCCACGGAGCGTGTGTCGGCATCACAGAGAAGGAGGCCAAGAAGTTAGAGGACTTTGTGTGCAGCGACTGTAAGCGTGGTCAGCAGGCAGGCAGCAGCGAGGAGCTCTACTGCATTTGTCGGACACCTTATGATGAATCACAGTAGGGCTTTTTCTACATCGTCAGCTCTGAGTCAAATTGTTCCAGCTCGTTGTCAAACCCTGCAGTCTGAACATTTGAACCGGTTGATCTGACCATCCCTCCAACCCTCTCCCACAGGTTCTACATAGGCTGTGATCGCTGCCAGAACTGGTACCACGGGCGCTGTGTGGGCATCCTGCAGAGCGAGGCCAATCACATCGACGTGTACGTTTGTCCACAGTGTCAGTCCACAGAAGACGCCATGACTGTCCTGTCTCCACTCACTGACAAAGACTACGAGGGGCTGAAAAGAATATTACGCTCGTTACAGGTACAACACCACTGTGTGTATGACTGCATATTAATATCATTGTTATAGCTGTAGTTCAGGCTATGTACTATCAATATAAATAAATAAACAGATTAAATATTTAAAGGTTTGTAGTCTTATATATAGGTACTTGGATCTGGGGTTCAGAAGTCCTTGTCTATGGGAGAAATCCCAGATGCAGCTGTGTAGGAAGGCAGGGCCAGGTTAGGGTCAGGTATGGACTGTGTGGTTAGGTTTAAGGTAAAGGGTCAGGTTAGGCTATAAAAATGGAAAATGAATGGAAGGCAATGCAAGGTCCCCACGGGGATAGAAAAACTATGTGTGTGTGTGTGTGTGTGTGTGTATGTGTAAAACCCCATTTAAAAAAAAAGTGTTCTTAGGTCCAATCTCAGACCTAATCTGTGTTAAATTGTGTACCAATTCTGCATTGTTTCAGTCTCACAAAATGGCCTGGCCGTTTCTCGAACCAGTGGATCCTCACGACGCTCCAGATTATTATCGTGTCATTAAAGAGCCGATGGGTAAGAGCTGTTATTCTCTCAGCACAGTTTCAGAAACGTGTGGCTATGAAATTATATAATTTAAAATATCCATTGTGTGCCTTTTTAATGTAGGTATTGTGCCCTGCCATAGTCTGTTGATACAGTTGTTTTATAATGCCTGGTGTTGTTCTGTCCCTCTTAGACTTTTCCACCATGGAAACCCGTTTGCAGAAGCGACATTACCAGAAGCTCACAGAGTTTGTGGCAGACGTGACCAAAATCTTCGATAACTGCCGCTACTACAACCCCAACGACACACCCTTCTTTCAGTGCGCCGAGGTGCTCGAAGCCTTCTTTGTACAGAAACTAAAAGGCTTTAAAGCGAGCAGGTAAGTGCTGCAGCTCATCATTTTTATGTTTCAACAAACTATTAAGCTTTTCCAGGCTTACTCAGAAAGACTGTTATGTCTGTTTTTCTTTTATGCATTTATGGCTGCCTCTCACTTTGCACTACTAGCATGTGTTTTGTAGCTGTATTTTTCATTAGAGTGTGCTGTACTGTAGACTACACTGTGTTTCATGTGCTGTTCTATGTAAACTCGTGTTCRTTGTCTCAATGAGCCCAACACTACGTTCACACTGCAGGTTTTAATGTTCAAATCTGATTTTTTTTTTTATGTGGTCGTTCACATTATAATTTACCTGCGAGCTCCAGCAACAGTTGTGATCCTGATGTGACCTGTTTGCACAGAATAGTCCGCTTTAATCGAACACTAGTTTGTTTGTCAAGAAAGTCCAGTTGGTTTGGGGAGGTGTGAATGTGTAGTCAAACCAAATCCAGTTTAAAATGTTACAAAAGTTGCAATTTTGGTCCCTAGTTGAACTGTGTCTACCAGACTATCAGGTGTGAAAACAGTCTTAGTCATCCAGGACATGGCACATCAAAAATGTAAGWAACTGGACCTGACGCCTGGTTCTCCCGGTGAGAGTTTAAAATTGTCGGCTGATTTTCAAAACCTGAGAGACGCCGCACATGACATAAAAAAAAATTATACCTATAACAGGTTAATATCAATATCTGATGGATCCATATACCACTACCTCCTTGATATAAAGGTTAGACGAAATGCGGCGTGACTTCTTTGAAAAACATCAGATGTGTTTTTGATTTAGTACCATAGGTTAAAAAACATCACATTAGTCATGTTCAAAGTGTCATAAAAAAAATCAGATTTGGTCACTTTTGTCTGCAGTGTGAACATAGCCTTAGCGTCATGTTACATCACTGTAACACTTGTGTGTGTGTGTGTGTGTGTGTGTGTGTGTGTGTGTGTGTGTGTGTGTGTGTGTGTGTG